CGAACACCTATCTCGTGGGCGTAAAAAGTCTGCTGACCTTGAACTTTACCGCGGCGTACAAAGTCTGCCCGTGCGAACGCACGCTTAGTTGTGCAACTAAACAGTTGAATTTGCTGCGAAACAATCGACAATCGAACAACAGTTTTGCGATAGGTTAATCAAAGGTGTACGCCCGCTCTATGCGAGAAATTGTATATAGGACATTGTTATGAACGATTAGCTGTCGCCTACGATTCTGTCTACATGGATTAAATAAAAAAGTAAGCATTCTATGTGTTCTTCCAGAATATCCTCTACATAGAATTTCATCGAAATCCGTTCAGAAGTTTGGGCTATAAACAAACATCCATCCATCTAAACTTTCACATACTCGCGACTTCAACGAAAAAATAAAAAATAATAAAAACACAGCCTACGTTACTCACTGATAACGTAGCTCTTTAAACATCATCATCAGCTCACTATACGTCCCCACCGAAGGGCTCGGAGCCTACCCTAAGTTAGAGGGACTAGGCCATAGTCAACCACGCTGGCCAAGTGCGAGTTGGTTGACGGCTTTTTAACAGTGAAAGAATTTTTTAAATCGGTTCAGTAGTTTTTGAGTTATTTTAATACGTGCAAAAATACACATCTTTTCTCTTTATAATATTAGTATGATATTTATTTACCAGGTACGTGGATCTGTGCCGATATTCTGGAGTCAGCCAGAATATAAATTTCGACCACCGCCACGACTTGATAGAGGTAATTTAAAATTTTATTTAGAAATGTTGAATTTTTACGTGTAAATTTCGAATATTTTTATCCGACTTAAAAGGTGATGTTTTTCGCGTGTATGTTTTTATATGAGTTTTTATTTCAATTTCATTGTAACCTATTGTAACTTAAAGTCGTTTAAGTTATAATCGCTTTAACTTTATTCATGCACGGAGACGCGAGCTAGTATGATATAAAAGTTGGCTACCTTATGCCACAACTTTTGAACTATTTTGTCTTTATCCGTGAATATGTAATATATTTATTTTGTTTCTTCTTTGTAGCAATATATCGCACCTTTATTAATAAGAAAGAATTAACTCAAAATGTATGTTTTTTGGGAAATCGCGTTTGAAGTTTGTCATTTACAGGAGATTTAAGATGACAAAGACGAAGTGACATGAGTTCAATTAATCGTATTCTTCTCGCGAAAATAATGTCGTTAATGACAAACTAGCTGACGCCCGCAACTCCGTCCGCGTGAGATTAAAAAAAAAACAAAGTGAATAGTCTATGTGTTCTTCCAGACTGTCCTCTACATCTATACAAAATTTCATCGAATTCCGTTCAGCCGTTTAGGCTGCAAACTCTAACAAACATCCATCCATCTAAACTTTCGCATTTATAATAATAGTATGATTAGTATAATTAAATAAAACGTACATTTTGAGTTAATTCTTTTTGTGAATAAATGCGTTATAAATGTTGTATTTATTTTAAAAAAATGTAAATGGTAGGTGAAGAAGAAACTCATACTGCATTTAAGAAGCATTTCGAGGAAGAGCTGAAGATCTACAAGCAAGTGTGCATTGTGAACTTGGTGGAGCAGCAGGGGAGGGAGCGGGTCATCTGGGAGGCGTACGGGAACCATGTCCTCAAGTTTAACAGCCCTGATGTTATTTACGCTACTTTCGACTTCCATGAGTATTGGTAAGTA